CTAAATGATCTGCTCAGGTCCCTTCCGACCCTAGAAACTATGAATACTCCCGCCCCCTCCTCATACCCAGGGTACAAAAATAACTTCTGCTAGAATAGTGTTTGTGAACTGAGGTGCTTCCCAATTGAGAAAAGTTAAAGAAAAGTTACTTGAGTCTAAGGTTGAGAATCACCGAGTTAGATACTTCTGGTTTAGTAAAGTGTTCCAAGTTCCCTTCACCACTGCTTCATCTCCCTTCATAAGCTAGCTAAAATATGCAGACTCCAATCACTATGACAAATAAATATATACAGTTGATTTTTACACTATGAATATCCTTTGTACACCGAGTGTGCTTTATTTCCTTCAGAAATAAAATAAAAAAACATTATAAATGGATGTTGAGGTTACAACCCTGGTTAATTCAATATAACTGCAGAGGTGAGACCAGCCAGCCAAAATATGCATTTGCCTTATGAAAGGAACAATAGGAGAAATATCATTTTGAAAGTTACTCTGTAGGGACTTCAGAGAATTCTTTAAGTCACTAGCAGCTGTAACTCTCCAGCCTCCAAAATCATATTAGGATGCTGGCTTTTTGGAAGAAGGGGTTGAGAAATAAAAAGTTTGAAAAAAAAAAAAGAGAAAAGAAAAAGCTGGGAAACAAGGATAGTTGTTATGAAGTTAAATGAAACTATCTGTAGTATCCCCCAGCTTCTAGTTCTTAAGCATATGCAATTAGTTTTCCTTCATGCAGGAAAGAAAGCATTAAACCTTACTTGACTGCAGCAAATAAGTTGTCTCCAACTTGAGAAATCACACAGCTTTTCTTAGCTTCATTTACACCAACCCATACTGGAAGTTCATCTGGCATATCCCTATAAAAAAAACCAACCAAACAAAAAAAAACAAAACACACAAATATTTAAAGGCTGGTATTTTCCACTCCTTTAGCATCTTTTCATACATGCTAATTCCTCTTTAAATGGAGCATCAGAGGTACAAGTTCTAGGCTTCTCTCAAAATTGGAGAAGCTGTACTATTAGGGCCTAATTTTAATATCTAAAGTAAGGCTTCACCTATAGCCTTCTCAGTTCTGCTAAGACACCAACTGAAATTTTTCAGTATTCAGAGAAAGAAAATTAGAAGTTCTGTCATTCCAGTGGTGCCTCAGTCCCACTCTCTCCCCACCCTTCTATGCAAGTAGAGGAAAATAATCATGTACTTCTGCAGTTATAAAAGGAGATTAAGTAATACAAGATACCTGAAATATCCCATGTGATACTGTGTTTTGTTATCTCCAACAATTATAGTCTGGAATTCAGGCGGGTCGTAAAAAAACCTCCAGTGAAGGTTGAAGTTCAACTCTGTTGATTTTTTTGGTTTTTTGTGTTTTCCAGCAAGTATATCATAAGGCCCCACCAGCTTAAGTCCAACACTTGATACAAGTGCTTCTGCAAAAAGCAAACCATGAAGAGTGTCAGGCTTTCTGGGGGATTTAGGAAGGTCTAAAGGACACAAACAAAACTCAAGCTCTTACAAACCTAGTCCCTCTGCAGTCAGGCCCAAGTCTCCTCTTGTGCCATGCACAAGAATTGAAAGGTGAAAGATTCTTGCCCACATAAAGCGTTTTTGTATTCATATGCTTTTCTGCTTAAATTTTATGGCTCAAGTGTTGTTTGCAAAAGCGGACAGTTTTCATTCATATCAGCAATTCTCAACCAGGGAGCTGTGGTGCCCTGGGGCACCTCGAGATCCTTTTAAGTATGCTGTGCAATGTTAGCATGGTTAAAAGGGCAAATCTGATTCACAAGATAAACCCAGAAATTTCAAGTAATCCACAGCGTTCAAAACATTCTGACCTGCTGTGGTCCGAGTGCTTTGCAATGGAAGAGTTGCTCCGAGTGAAAACTAAGTGCCTAGACAGCTGCACTGAGGCTGCTCCAATGTGGTGTAATTAACTGAGTCTGCTGGAGTGTGGAGCAGGCTCCAGAGTCAAGTGTATCAGCATCCCCATGCTGAAAAATGACAGTCCCCACCACCTTTTTTAGCATGGGGATGCTGATACATGTGACACTCCGGGTGCTTTAAATCAGAGCAGCTCTTGGAACCGCTTTAATTAAAGCCCTACCCCCACCTCCAAGAGCACATGTATAAATGCGTAAAGAGCTGACATTTCCCAAGGAGCCTTGAGACTATTAAAGGTGACTTTCATTCCACAAAAGTTTGAGAACCACCAATCCATATCTAGCAACTACTGCTTTTCCAAAGTAACAGTTGCACGGCTTGAAAAACCACAACATATTTAATTTTACGATATGCAGATTAGAAGAGATTCCTCCCCATACAAGCTAACTGCCCTATGCTCTCCTATAGAAGTCTGAAAACAGTTCCTGTTTGACATGAACAATACCTCATTGTTTCTAAAAAGGTTACTTTTAGGGTCTGGATTTCCTGGATCAGCACCCCAAATCCATTCCCCAGCCTGAAGGCAACTAGCCAAACCCTTAGCAGTTAAAAGGATTTAAGAAAAAAAGAATAAAATGTATTGAAACATACCTCAAGAGATTTATAGGATATGCGTTTTCCCTCTGTTCTACTTTTTTAAGCTTGGTGTGTTCAGTTTCAAGAACCAGGGGTAACACGGTGAAATTAGTAGGTAGGTAGTTTAAACTAACAACAGGAAGTTTTTTTCTCCCACACAGGGTGTCACTGAAGTGTTCGACTTGTTGCCACCAAATGTTGTGGAAGCTGCCAGTTTAGCCAGAGTCAAAAGGGGACTGGACAAAACCTTGGAGAAAAGGGGCATCAGCAGCTGTTGAGTGTGAGAGTTAGGGACATAGTCTAAGGTTATAACAGGAACTTCCCACAGCACAGAACACGCAGTCCAGATCTATTAGCCATTATTGAGCAGGGAGTTAGGGCCACAATGACCACCCACAGGTGATGGTGAGCTCCTGCAGGTGGCCATGGCAGTG